AGCATGTCCACCTGTGTGGTTCTGGGCTGAATTGAGAGGCCAAGAAGATAAAGAAAGGACTTTCAGCTGGCACAAGGGATCTCTGTGCAGACAACTCTGTCAAGCTCTTTGGTTTGCCTGTAGAGAATAATATCTTTTACTGTTTTACTGGATCTCCACTTGCAACTATGAGACATGGTTCGCTGTTGGGATTTTTCCACTGCCACAGTGTTCACTAGAATGATTAATTTCCCTCAAGAGCATAGTCCTGTTTGCAGCCCTACATTGAGGGATTAAAAAGCAGGTGCCTGTTATGAAGCTGGATGCCTGTGCTTCCATAAAAGTAGCAGGAAATGTAAGCCTTGATTCTGCTGCTTAAACAGAGGCATCCAGTTTCATTAGAAGTACTCCAGGCTAACTCAAAAATTCACCTGGAGCTTACAGAGACAACATAATACTTAGAGAATATTTAGACAGGATGTCTGCTTTTCTGGAATGGAAGCTGGAGGCCAGGAAGGGTGCGTGGGTAGAAGATCTGACTGCAAAAGGGAGATGCATGATCATGCAGAACAGGTCCAGTGGAAGGTGGGTATCCGAGGGTCTGTTCCAAAAGAGCAGCAGGGTCAGGGAGCTGCAGAATTCTCTGATCCCTGCCCAAGCAGAGTTTCCCTTTTGACAGGCAACTCTGCATCTGCCCTCCCTCCTTCCTTCCCCACTGGGCTCCTCCTCCTCCTCACTGGCAGGGCCAAACATCTCAGAGGTCAAACTGTAGCCGGCACTGGATAAGGCAAACGTGTCTGTGGGGGATGAGTTTGTAAAGGATTCAATCCTCCATCCCTGGCAATTGTTTTTGAAAGAGGAGGTGAATTGGCTAAACCAGAAATGCTTAGTGAATGATGATTTCCCGGACAATATACATGGATGACCCCAGGAGAAATGTGTTTTGTGCTGAAGAAGAAACACTGCTCTGATAGCAGGTTTCATGCCCAGAGATGCCGCAGTACACCTCCACATGCTGTCCAACTGCCCTTTCCAGCTTTGTCCTCTCTCCAGCTCCAGTAGAAATGGCAAAAAGTCCTGTACTTGCCTGAGGTCCAGAGTTCTCTCTCCTCGTCTGCCTTTGCCATTTGCTGCTGCAGGCTCTTCTTTTCCCCTGGGCACAGGAAGGATCACCTGCAGCTTCTGCTACTTGTCCCAGACTGTAATTAGCTGGAACTCAGTCTGTTCTTTCCTGCCAGCCCTGGGTGGAAGTGCACAACAAACTGAGAAACAAGGTCCTCTCTGGAAGACAGCAGCTGCTGAGGCTCAACTATCGAATAGCAAGTGAATAGATATAACCCCTCCGGAAAGAACTCACTACCAACACACATCCAAATCCTTTCCTCCCAGCCCAATTTCTCCTGTCCTCATCAAAGTATTATTGGAGCTCTGTCCTCTTGAATATCTGTTTACATTTTTCCCTTGTGAAGTACCTTCACCTCACTCTTTTCTCCCAGGCCTTGAGGGTCATCCCCAGGCACAGGTCAGTCCCAGAGTCCCAGGACCATCCCAGAAGCTGCTCTGCTGTCCCTCAGTTCTCTTGAGAAATTTCTGGTCCGTGGATGTTGAGACAAAAGCAAACAAGTTGGCAGATGTTGCAGTGCTCAGATATTTGGTACCTATAGTACGCACTAGTTTCTGAAGGTCTCACAAGCAGTCCAGTGCCAAGGTAAATCTGCATTTTCAGCCTAGGCACCTTTTTTGGGCTTAGGTTAGTGTTACTCTGCATAAAGTTGCTACTCACTGATTATGTTTCCTCATCTGATGTATTATTGCATTGTTAAAGGATTCTCAGTGAGTGTTTTCCCCCTGAGTTGTGAGGTTCAGACTGGACCCCCTTACTTTCTAAACGCCTTCTCATAGAGGAGTCTAGGTGCTGCTGAGTCCAGTCTTGGTCTCCAACTATAAAGAAGACTTTGGACTCTAGGTTTTGGCACAGAGTCGGTTTATTACAGCTTGAGCTAGACCTCCTCTGAGAGCAACCCAGAGCAGAAAAATCCCTGGGCATTTATACCTTTCAGCCTCATCACCCACCCTTCACACACTGTCCACATGCCTTGCATGCTCCTCTAGGTCCAACGGTAATTCCTGGTCTGGGGTCTTCTTACTCCTTACTGGTTTTCATCTGATGGAAACTCTCTCCTTATGTCCCGGTTTGTAGCAGTCTGGGACCATCTCGTACCAGTCTCTAGGTGAAAGTTCACAGCACATGGCCTACAACTTTAGCTACTAATGCTAAGTGAAGCTACTTATGCTAAGTTTGGCTAGTCTCAATTCAACCTAATTTTAAGCAAAACCACAATTAATGCTAATATTCCACAACTGAATTATTTTATTTTCTATCATGCACCTGTAGACTGTTTTCTTGTTGGACTAACAGGAGGAGGAGTAGGCATATGTGATGTGCTAAAATCTCATGTCCTTCTGTATTCTGAAGGCAAGGTTTTCTGTTAAAGCAAATCAATCCCAACACAAAGAAGCTTGGAAGGAAGTGCCCTTTGGCAATACTGCCTACCACTCAAAGGCAGCTACTATGGGCAGATGCTTTTAGCCGCGTGTTTTATCCCTCTAAGTGTGCACCTGCCCCACAGGTGGATCAGTGAGAAAGTCATGAGGAGAAGCTGCCTAAGGGACAAGATACGTAACATTCACACCATGCAAAGACCCTGCTGCGGAGTTGCTGGGACTCTAGTGACAACCCAGGGATGCTGCAGAGCAGCTCTCTGCTTCTGCAAGGTCTATGTCATATGGCACAGTTTGGTCTGGGCTATCCCACCTGGATGTTAAAGAGCTGCTAGGGACAGCACAGTGCTTGGGAGTGGAAGGGGACCAGAGTGCTGGGCACTGCCTACAGGGAATTCAACTCAGGGCCAGCAGCCAGAGTGGAAAGGGAGTAACATAGTATAATCTGGGTACTGTGAGAGCAGTCTAACCTTGTCTGGTTATGTGGCTGCACAAGTGGAGTGCGGCCTGCTTAACTGGGACAGGAAGGAAGTTGTTTCAAGGGACATTTATAGTCTAGCTGTCTCCACATGTCCATCTGGCCATTCGGATGCCTAGGAAACAAAACCATGACCACTATGGTTTTCCCCACTAAGTGTGTGCTCCTGGGACCAAACCACGGAGCTGCAGGACCTAGAGACACTGGTTTCAGCATAGAGGTGTCACATCTTCTGGATAGGAGTGAGGGTTTGAACGACTGTACTTGTCAAGGTTAGTTAAATAGATTTTGACACGCACCCTTCTGGGGTCTGTTTTGGACCCAGCAGTAGTTCAAGTCAGCATCTGAAAAATGTTGACCCTTCCCCTGCCGCCCCCCGGAAGTGGTTAACCTGTTTTTAAAAGCAAGGGGGAATTTGTTTTGCATAGCATGATTTAGTCATGTATTTTAACCACAGTATCCTGCTTCAAGCAGGCAGCAGCTTGTTTCTTGTTGGCCCCTTCCTAGTACTGGTGAGTCAAAAATCAGCAGCCCGTTCTTTCACCTTCTGTACATTAATGCTCATATTGCCTCTTGTCTTAACTGTTCTCTCTTTAGACCCGTGTCTCTTTTTGTTATGATCCGCAATTTTGAGCCTGAGTAATTTGAAAGGGGCAAGAATAGTTCAAATTCCTTTAAAGCCAATAGGGCCAGAATTCATAGCCCTCCTAAAGTCTCTTAAATGTGCCAAGGAGTCTCCTTCCCTGTGGAAAGCCCAAGAAAGACAAATTTAATAAAAAGGAAATCTAGGCTGTAACAGGTGGTTTTCTAGTTCTCAGTGGTCACTGAAGAGGACAGTGGAATTTCAACTATTTCCACCCAGCTTTGAGGAGAAAGGGCACAGTGCAAACCAAGCATAATAAAACTTTATTTTGGTGTATATTAAGGAAACCTAAAATGCATATACTTAACAAAAGAGAAAAATGTTCTAAAGAAGGGATGGAAATGAAAATACTGAAGTCTGAAGTAAATCCCCTCAGGTCCAGTGGACATCTAATTATCTGCACTAGGAAATTGCCAGTAATAAAATATTCTAAAAATTAAAACTATACAATGTTCCTTCTATGCCTTGGAACCCTAAGCAGAAAAGCATTGCTTCTGTAGACAATAATGCAATTTGACCAGAGGTGGTATTTTGAAAGCATAGTAAGTATAAAGTTAAATTTAAAGTTTTCAAAACTATCTAAGCAATTTGGATGCTTCAGTGAAATGGATGCAGGAGTTAGGAGAGCTAACTATTTGTGATTAGCAGAGGGATGAGGGAAATTTGTTATGGAAATAAGAAATAACAAAAATTGTTCAAACAATTAATGAAACTAAGGTAGACAAGAGCTAAGAAGCCTTCCAGATGGTGTTGATTGAAGATCATCTTGATGAAGTAAAGGGACTCATAGATCTGCTGGAACTAGGGGATTTGTTGATTCTTTAGAATCTTTATTGGTAGCAAAGCTGACATGTAGTATTTAAATTATCCTGCTGTGTGTTCTTTCCTGCTCTTCTTCAGCCCATTGCTGGCTCACTTATCCAGTACCTGAAAGAGAAAACAATGTTTGTTTTAAAATTCTTATTCACATTTAATGTAGTGGTGCTGAGTTTCTGTTAATCTGGAATAGATTGGACAATTTTATTGGTCATTTTGGCTACCTGATCATCAGAATTTTCCCTCCTCCTTTTTCCATCCCACTTTTCACATTTGTTGCCTTTTCAGATTCTCCCTTTATAGTTCTTGCTAATCTGGGCATTTATCTAGACTTTGCGCTATACCACTTGAAACAAACAGCAGAAGATTTCTGATAGAACCTGAGGTGCTGTGGACTAGCACAATGCAAAGGCAATTTGGGGATGAGGTGCAATTTGGGGGTTACATTAACTTATCCAGCAAAAAGAGGAATAGCTGAACTGCTGTGACTCCTTGCGGGGTTACAGAAGGATGCAAAGCCAGCTGGTCACTCCTTGCACTTGCCGCCTGTGTTCCCAGGGACTGAGTGATGTGTTTCCTCCCTCAGAAGAGAAACAGCCTGATGCTCATGATTGTATTGAAGGCGATGCTTTTTGCCAGCAGGACTCTCAAACCCAAACCAGCCATGAACAGCATATTCACTTTCTCCATTTTGACAACTGCTTTAAAAAGAAGAAGAGGGAAGACAGTAGGGTCTTGATATTAACCCACTCCCCCCACTCCACCCCACCCCACAAAAAGGAAAATCTGTGCATCCTAAGTGGATGAGGGAAGCAGAAACAAAAGAAAATATGACAGAGGAATGTATTAAGTGCAGGAAAGAAAGGAAATGTCTTCCCAGTGAGGAATTTACTTCCCATTGCTGTTTTATCCCATGGAAATTTGTCAGCTATTTAGTCTGTTAACCTGAAACAGCAGGTTATTTCCAGTATTTCCAGTTTTGACACTTCTGCACCAGAGAAAGCAAATTTTTGTGGTTTGGTACTGAATCCACAAGAAGTGCAGCTTATTGCTTAATAAGTATCTACAATTCAGACATTTCTGTGCAAAAGGCAATGCATTTTCATGGATTGTTACTGAATTCCCAATAAAGTAACCATACTCTATTCTTCCTCTAGACAACTAACCTTTTATAGAGGCATCTGTAATGTTGCAAGCATTAACTGTTTCAAATTCTTCAGTCTTCTCTTCTGTGGAATGATTGAGAGATACTTTAAATTCTATTCAACTATATAAACCAAAAATTACACAAATCGTAACTATAGCTCTTTTCCCAGCAGTAGGTAGGCAGTATTGGAGAGTCACAGAATCACAGAATCACAGAATGGTTAGGGTTGGAAGGGACCTCTGGAGATCATCTAGTCCAACCCCCCTGCCAGAGCAGGGTCACCTACAGCAGGTTGCACAGGACAGCGTCCAGG